GGACACCAGTCGTTTTTCATTGGTTTTACGAAAAAAAAACAAAAAAAAAAAAAAAAAAGAACCATACAAGTGTGGCCAACTATACATATTTTCCTGTAGCATGAAAAATTCTAGGGGTTGTTTGAGGCAGCTATAATTTTTTTTTTTTTTTGCATATTTTTATGAAAATTGATAAAATTGGTGACTTTTATCACAAATTTTAAATGTAGGGTTGAAATTAATAATTAATTTTAATTCAACTTCTTAGCCCGTGAACACGAATTCAGGCTGCGTAAGTTTCACTTATGGGTGGGTAATTAGCATGGACAAATGAGTGGGAAAAGGCAATGTTTAAACTTTAAAAAATGAGAATCAATTTTAAACTTTATTAAAATGGAGTCTATAGATTCAATTCAAACTGGAGAGCACTCTATACGTCCCAATTTGCAAATCTCATACTCTTATTCGTTTAATATTTTTATAAGTTTATTTAAATATCGACTAGGGCGTCAAGGTACAATTGTAGAGTTTCCCGTCCTCTTTCAAATGTATAGTCCAAGAGGACAAACCCCATGCTCAACATTTGTGATGCACAACTAGGGTGTTCGCTAAAATTTTACAAATATACAATTTCGTAAATAAATAATAAAGAGTGAATAAAAAATCATTTCCCTGAAAATTGCAGATTCAATTAAATTTTGATTAATACTAACTTTAATCGAAATAGCATAGTTTTATGGAGATTCATAATTGTAAATCAAACTCAATAACTAATTTTTTTAAAACTAAACTATCATGCGTTTATGAAACTCAATTAATTAAAATAATATTACACGTAAATAAAAAAAAATTCCTTCTTTTTAAACTATACATTCTCCAATAAATTATTATTCATTTCATTATAATGTGAAATAATGGAGCCCAAATAGGGGCTTAGACTTGACGATCAATATTTCTATTTAATTTAATATTTTTTCTTGAGTAACATTAAAAGGAGTTTTTGAGATCTAAAAGTTATTTTTGGATCTGTTTGTCTAATTTTATGCAAGTATTTTTTTTTTAAAGTTAGAAGAGCATTTAGAGAAAGTTGGTACAATGTGTTTTTTCCTTAAAAAAAACACTTTTGGAATAGAAAACTCTTGTAAAAATTAGTTTCTAAAAGTAAAGATAGTCTCCTCTAAAAGTTCTTCTACAAGAAGCAAAAATCTATTTATATACATAGGAGAGTGAAAAAAGGATTCGCGTAGAGATACACTGTTGCCACATTATCACAATATCTATTTTTTAATGACATAAAAAACTCCTAATTCCTTGAATAAAGAATCAATCCAAATGAGTTCAGAAGCTTTTGACCCCACAACACGGTATTCAACTTCATTTGAGGAACAAGCTACAGACCGTTTCTTTTTGGATTCCATGAAATAGGATTGAAACCAAAGAACACCACACATGCATTGGAACAGTTTCGATCTTGAGGATTTCCACCCCAATATGCATCGAAAAATGCATGTATAGAAAGAGGAGAGTAACAATGGAAGAAGAGACCATTATGAAGGGTCCCTTGTAAATAACAAAAAAGTCGTTCTAGAGTTGTCCAATGTTCACCGAAGGCTTTAATCATTTCAGAGAAGTCATTGTTCATGTGAGCTCAAGTAGTGAGCTTTATTATTACTTTTTATTGGGTTTTAATACCAAATAAATTTTGGGCGATGAAATTAAAAATGAAGGGTACCGCTATTTCCATCCAC